TGAGAATATATCAGTTTTGTAATATTATGTGCTGATAAAAAATGGGTTACATACTGCCTGTTCACAGAGAAGGTTAGCTATAATGGTGCCACTATAATATAGCAGCAGTGCCTGGTTCGTTTGTGTAAAACAGATTATCAAGTAGATTTCTTTCTTCCTGTTCAAGCTTGTTTAAGCTGACAGATATTGTTTCGTACCCCTGCTTTCCTGAGTGGCCCCCCAACCGAAGTCCTGTCTTCCTGTTTGGAGCAGGTCAGGCCACACAGGGCTGCCAGGCTAAACCATCCTGTGATAAAACTCACATGTAGCTGCGGGGATTTGTTCCTAGTTTAACATCATGTGCAAACAGTTGTTGTTTGTTTTAATCTGGATCGGGTGTATGTGTTTTTTTTTCAGCTGATAATTATTCCTTTGTCGATAAATTTAGACACAACTTTACACTGGACAGAGATATCAGCTGTACGCACAACTAACCTTTATATCAAACAAGATCACTTCTGTTAATATCTGAGTAACATAGCTGTTGTCATTTTATGACTACACTCAATTGTGGGTTCAGGCATTATTCTGTTTTGTTGTTGTTGTTGTTGTTGTTGTTGTCAACAAATCCCATCAACAGACCAAAATTAACCATGTTTTAGTCCGGCTGTAAATACTTCCTGACTTCCATACACTGTCTGTGACTCTCCGCCCCAACTCCAATGATTCCCACTATAGACGTAAATCTTCAAAAATATACCTAATTTTTAAGAATGCTCAGTAATTTCTGGTGACTGTAGTCTTTAGGAAACATTACTAAAACAGAAACGGTGCAATTGTTGGACTATTTTCAGTCATGGATCAATACTTTAGTGAATATTTATGGTAGCAAGATGGTGTACGTGAGACTAACTCTAAATAAACTGCATTGCCCATGTTCAGTGTAATGAGTAAACATGTCACCCTGCTGTGCTTTTTTATAGGTTTTAGACAACCGTAGAGGTCTATCGCATCTATAAGCTATTAAATCATTGTTGGTTTTTGGTCTTTTCAAGGGATTTGTTGACGATCTGAAAAAATTGTAATATCACCAAATTTCTGCTGTGTTTGCATTAAATGACTTAAAACTGTCCTGAGTGGAAACAATCCAGCAGATAGTAAAAAGAAGAACAGAGGACACTTAATAAGAACAGGCTTGTTCGTGCTGCAACAAATTGGTTCCCGCTTATCATAACTCCCTATTTGGCCCCTTCGCTGTGGTCTGAAGTGTGGTAATCCATTATGATATGAAAGTTTCATAATCCCCACTGGCCAAAATCAGATGCCACTCGACAGCAATTAGGCAAAAAGTATTTGGCTTTCAATTCAATAGACCAGAGAAAGGGTTTACATGTTGCTCATCCCTTCCACCAACCTTTTTTCAAGGTACAGGACAGGATTTTGACATGACTGATTATGAGGTGTTGGGGTTGGACCAGTTGGACTCCAAGGGGTTGCTGTCCCAGAGCATTTCACCTTCTGAGTCTGAGTCCACAGCTTTTACACTCTCACTGACACCCGAGTCCTCCCCACCCTCCACACCCTCTCCACCTCCCTCTCCACCGGCTCCAGAGCAGCTTGAGGAGGTGGGGAAAGGGGTGCAGACAGCATCAGGCTCTCCACAGCTCAGGCTGATTAAGAGGAAGGCTCCTGAGGTACACACCGCCTCATCAAGGTGGCTGCTCAGCTGCTGCCTGATTCTAACTGCCCCTTGAGAGTGGTGATTAACTCACCCATTCACTAATTTCTAGGGCTCTGTAGCTAAATAAATCATCATGGTTCAGCACTTCTGCAACTGTGGAGAGTGTGACAGCTAATAGGATTTCTGCACTGATGAAGCTGAATCATGTATTAACTATAGTGGAATTAGTGTTTAGTTCAAATGAATGTGTGATCTTGCTCTTGATTGCACTTGTTTGGAAATTTGGCATGGGAAAAAGTCCAGTCATTGTTTTTGACATACTGACATGGATTGGATAATAACTTCTACTTTTAATGTAATATTTATGGAAATGATTCTGCATAATCCCTGGAATGAATGGGAATTCATTAATACATTTTAACATCTAATATCAGTTTTTTTGGCATGGTGATGCTCAACTAAATGAAGCAGCACTGTTTAAAGGATAACACCTGCAATGTTTTTTGTTTTTCTTATTGTCAACAAATCCAATGAAAAAAAAAAACTAATAATGATTTAAACCTATGAACAAGTATTGTCTGTGTATCCCAGATACAGAATCCTGCTGCCATAAATAATTAGTAGAGGAACAAATATGTATTCATCTGCAGCTGAAAATAGTCCCCAGCAAACACACTATTTACTCCTGTTTTGAGCAACTTTTCCAAAAACCCAGTTATTTTAGGGAATGACCTTTTTAAAAATCATTTTTAAGAATTAAACTTAATATTTGTGACCTGCTTTAAAAGATTTATATCTTCAGTAGGAAAACTTAGACCGTCTGAAGTCAGAAGTACTGAGAGATACATTGTTAGTTTTAGTTTTATCTTGAGATTTGTTGTTGGTAACAAAAAACACAAACTAATGCCTGCTGCATCCTTTAAATTCTGTGCAACTCATTGTAGCTATTAGCTGATTAACCACCATCTCCCTCCTTGCTTTTCTCCTCATCTGTCCTCTATTATAGCCTCCTCTTAGAGTCTTAAGGCCTCTCACAAGATCCAGGAGTGCTCTTTCTTCAAACAATGAAGCCATGTGAAACTAGTCCTCAAGACTACTCCAGCTGCCTTTGCTGCAAGAAGTGAAAATACTGAATGGCCAAAATCTACATGACTGAAGCAGCCTTGCTTTGGAATAAGGTATTACCAAAGTGACCTATTATGACCCCTCTATATAAAGTATATAGCTCGTGGCTCATGATTATAAAAAAAATGAGGTTTGTGACATTGAAATAGAACAAATGAATGAATGGGCTCCATGCTGAAATTTTGAGTTTGTGGGTAATTGAATATGTATTTATGTACAGTTTGTGTGTACTTCATCTTACTGATTTGATTGTTTTTATATATCAGGTTTCGGGTAGGCAATTGCATGTGTGTCTTCCTGGTAATTAGTCCGCTGTTTATTAAACAGAATGTACTGTCACTGAACACTAAAGCTGGCATTGAGAGTGACATGGTCGCTGTTAGAGAATGTGTTAAAAGCCAAGGATCAAAAGAAAAGGCATGGCTGTTTTTACCCTCATTCGATCTGTTGTGGAGAAAACATCTGTGAGAATTCTGCACTGATTAATTATCACATCAAGGTGTTGCGAAGTCAGTTGATTATCCAAAAACATATTCTGAGATAAGACAACCTACTTTTGTTGTAGTGAAAAGTAAAAACAGCAGTGGCAGATGATATTCTGTAATTTACCTCTCTATAAAAGCCTTAAGTTAAGACATAGCAGAGACATAAAAAATATATAAATAGTCTCCACACATGATTTAAGTATTTCTAACACAACTATCTTCTCATTAAACAATCATTTTGCACTATGTTTAGAAAACCACTGCTCTCGATACTCTGAAATGGCCAAAAATGACATAGAACAAAGATAAGATAATAAATGAATAGCTGAATATTATCACCAATTACTTTTAATATTTCGTCTGCGGTAGAGACATAATCACTTGTATAACAAGTAATAGCATTCACATCACAGAGAAATGAAAGAAACCAGTACTACAAGAGGTTTTCTCTCTGGAGCAGACTGTTTTTGACAATCTACTGTTGAGTTTGTACGCACATTTTGTCATTTAATTGACCATTTATTTGGTCATTTAAGGCCTATTAGGAATATGTCCCTTTCAGCTGTAGCAGAAATAGGATATATATTGTGGGTAAATATTGACTGTATATTAACATGGTTCTTTTTCCATGTTTGAAATCACTGTGTAATGCTCCGCTGTTAACTGAGCAACACTAAACCCAACGATCTTACCTTCTGCTTGCTTTACTCTTTTATTTTTTAGGAGTTCATTCGAGTGACTTTATCGGTTTGCAGGTTTACAAACTTACATTTAACTTAATATTGCGTGGTGATACACTGTATGTTTTCATCCTCTACTTTTACTCTCTGAGCCCGAATCATAGCAACAATTTTCACAAAGTGTCACTGTGTGGGTTGTTGATGGGTGGACTTACGCAGTAGATTTATAATTTTCATCATTGTATCTGTATCATTAACGGTGGTTTGAAGTTTGAAACAAAAGCTTCTCAGGTACAACTGTTCTGTTTACACGTCATTCACTCTGATGTTGTAGATACACTTGTTATGCACATGAAATGTCCTTAATGGATAAATGGTGGAAAAAAGATTATGTGTTTCAGCGTTAGTGGTATCAGTGTTAGTGTTGGAAGTGATTTCCTCCTATTAAAAATTCATGCAAAGTAAAATGGGGAGAAAAAAAAACGTCGCAGTAGCAGATTTGTATATTTGTGCGTAGACTGCTGAACTCATCATTGCATGATGTTTGTTATTAATTTGTATGAAAATTAGATTTCTTAAATGATTTTGTGTGAAGCTATTGGCCTCTTTAGATGCCTTGCTGGTAAACAATGAATTATTTTTTGTCACTTTTGGTTGCTTTGTAGTAAGAATATAAAATGTTACGACTAAACATACATGTTGGCTATATATGAAAAACACGTCTTATTACTTATTGATCAATTAGCCACTTTGACTTTATTAATGAAGAGACACCACTTTACTACGTTATCCTAAGAAATTTTGTTCTGGCAGGCCAGAATGTCAAATTAATTACAATTTCAACTTGATTGTGAATTATAAAAAACAAGAAGTTGTGAAGTGATGACATGATGGTTTATGGCTATAAATTTATTGTTCTACTACATTAAATATTTCTGTTTAAATCGATTTACAGCCATTAAATATGAAGCAAAACTTTGACTGTGTGTCGATGTCTTTTGTCTTATCTTAAAAGAGCATCAAAAAGGAAAGGATCATTTAAGACATGACTTTATCACATATAACTTTATTACATTGTATTCAAACAGAAAATAAGATGTCACTAATGTTTGAGGTTGATGCGATTGTGGTACTTCTGGTACGGATCATCAGCATACCAGTTCCTCCTTTTCCAAAAAGATGTTGTCATTTTATCCAATAGCTTGCTCTGTGTTTTGTTACAGAATACATGCTCCCTCAGGCGCTTTCGTCTGGCAGGTAACTTCTTCCACAGTTTCTTCTTGTATCCAGCCTGTTTACACCCAAAATCAAAATGTCAGACTGGCAACAGAGAACAAATCAGTGATTTCTGTTGAGTTAATTAACAGTAAAAGACTCTTACCTTGCGTCTGAGCCAAAGGCCACAATGCAGCCTCATGAACCTTTTGGTCACAGATTTTACAGACTTCCTTTTCCCTTTCTTCACACTGTAATACGTCAGACTTCTGCTTGGTTGCTGAGTCAGACTGGGAATGAGTGGCGATACCCTGCAACGACGCAACAACTCAAATTACAAAACAACAAATAAGTATCACTAGATATGCAGATGATTTTAGATTTATTTGGTTTTGATTTCTCAGTCCAGATTCAAAAATACAGAATAGAATTGTGTTTGTGGTGTTTTAAAGGATCAGTGTAAAGGATTTAGCAACTAAGTGAACACTGCTTGTGTCTGTACTCGATGAACTGGGAATGGGAACAGGCTGTGAAGTGTGTAGGAGAAACTATGGTGGTGGTGAAAAACATGAAAATCTAGAGTGAGTGTTTCATTTGTCTGCTCTGGGCTACTGTAGAAACATGGCAATTCTACACTAATGAAAACATACATATGAATGTTGAATTTCTGCCAATAGATCCTCCTAAATGTTACACACTGGACATTTTACTTATTCGAGTGTCACAATACATTAGTTTTTAATGAAACCAAGTCATCTCAACCCTGGTTTTAGTTCCAACAGTCCTAACATCTAATCCTGATTCCCCAATACTTGAGAGCGACATAGAGGATCACAATGAGAATGTATTAGTAAGCAACACTCAAATGGGTTCTGGTGTTTGATGCTAAGCTACGTTATAAGGCCAAATGTAAGTGCACACCTGAACATTAAACCTTTATGTGATTGTTGGCCATTTTGAAACCGTTATCCTGCTGCTGTACTAGTCTACATTGTTCTGGGGAGGCTGTCTACAGGAGTGTGGACCCTGGCTGCAGCAATTCAGCCACAGGAGCATTAACATCCATCCCAAAGGTGTTGGATGGGCTTCAAGTAAGTGTATGTATAAGGTTCTTATACACCAAACTCTGAAAAACAAAACCAAAGCAAACCCAGTATAAAATGTTATTATATATAGTAGAAATGAACCAATAATAAAGCCACAGTGGTGGGTGTTGGGATACCACTGACTAATACTAATGCCAGGGGCCAGTATGTCAGTATCTATCTTATGATCAGGTTGTTACAGTGACTACTGTTATTAATATAAACTGTACAGCAGTCTGAACATCAGCAGCAGAGCTCCTTCTGGTTTACCGGTGGAGGATGTTGTACCGGGGTGTCTGACACACCGCAGCCCGCAGAGGAGCTCGGACGGCGGCTGCAGCACAGCTGTAGAGAGGCGGAGGCTGGATGAGGCTGGAGAAGTGGCAGAGCTGCGGTGTCTTGGCACACAGAGACACAGACAGCGGCCTCAGCAGCCCTGTCTCACACACACAAGGACAACACAGACACATGAGAGGAGCACAGGGAGGAGAAAGCCGAGCACTGATAATAAGTTAGTTAAAGTACCAACGGACAATTCCTCCAACGTTAGTTCACTACATTAACACGTGGATAAAATACTAAACATTTACAGAGAGAAATGGAAAAAATATACATGAATGTCAAATTGCAGGTACACACCGGACACTCTCCTTGCCAAGGCGACCGCCATGTTTTCTCCTCAATGCTGACGTAAGTACGGAGCGTTGTAAGGACAAGTTTCATTTTGGTCGCGTCCAACCTTAATAGTACACGGAGCATTATCGCCACCTAGCAACCGTCACTGGACATGTACGCGTTTCCAAAAAAATATCAAAAGAATAATTTGGAAAGTACAATTGTCTAACTTTATTTGGATATTTCTTTTTTTCTTTCTACTGTTTATTAATTCTACTAACCGACCAAATGTCAGAGGGAAACATTATAATATTAGTATTTCACCCTTTTATATTTATTTGACAGCCACATATATTTTAAATAACCCATATGAGCTCCAGATATAATATAACACTCTCAGAAAGGCCACTCTGGATTAACAGTCTACTTTTACTATTTCATATTAAAAGGATTTTGCTGTAGAAATACTCAGGTCACTGTACTTTTACTTAGCTTAAGTCAAATTTGAATGCAGCAGGTAATCCTTAAAATCCTTGTGGAGGGCGTTTCAGCCACCAGAAACTGGTTATGGACTCCAGTGTCCACTTTCTATCAGTAGCAGGCCTATTGCTTTAACTAAGACTTTCTACTGCATGGTTGTACACTCTGTGAACTTGTTTATCTGATTGTGAGGTTTGCCATTTGTCACAGTCTCCTGTTGGATGTTTGCATAATGTGGAAAGAATTGTTCACGGCTGTAGGATCCAACCACAGTCTTGTTAGCGTGACTTCTCCCTTTTCTTTAGTCTGGTAAAACCTTGCAGTAGGCTATCCACTGAATAGATATTTTTCATGGCATGACATTTTCACTTCTCATAGCAGGAAATACACAGGAGCAGCCAATAACATTGATTGATGTTATAGATTACCCCTGTGTTTGTCCAGTAAAGCTTTAGCATCATTATTTTGGGCCCTTTTTTTTTTAACATTGTAACAAATCCAATGTACAACAGATATCAACATTATACAAAAATACAGAACATGAATCCAGAATAATATTAAAAATGCATGTGATAGGAAAATTAGATCTGCAACCAAAATATTACCAAAAATAAAAAAGCATGTGTTTGGGTCACTCTTGACCTTCTTACTGCCTTAAAACCACTTTTATAATGGGTTCATCTGTATTAAATAAAGAAAAAACTTTAAAAACATTTTCTTATGTAACTGTGGTAATTTTCCCTACAGAATAGTCAAATTAATACTTTTACTCATGGGTGCAGCTATACCCAAAGACTTTGTTATGTCAATATGTCAGTTTCTTCATTTTCAGTCACCTTTCCCTGGTCCAGAACAAATGTGAATACCAAATCAACTGTGTTGAACGTAGGTAGAACATAGTATACCAGGTTAAAAATATAGCAGGTCTATTCCTGGAATGACACAGTAATACTGCCATCACAACACAAGCTGAGCCCGGTTTCATGCTTTCCACATGTTGCAGGGCTATCAGACCAGCAATTTCACAGTATTTACTTCAGAAGTGCTGGATTCTTGTCGATCAAAGTCCAAAATGACCTGTTCTACTGAGGGCTTTGTTGGGACAAACACTGCACAGTCAGGATGGCCGTCATCACTATACATTTAAGTCCTTCATTTGAAAGCAATAATGTTGTTTTTCTTGGCTAAATAACTATCTAATTTTCAATCTGTAAGACTTTTTAAGAGGTCAAAGATCAAAGATCTGACATAACCTGTTGGTTGATGTTAATAATAGTGCTAATATTATTAAAAAAGAATACAAAAATGAAGGCTCAAGTTAATAATTTTTTTTTTATTTTCCTTTAAAACATACAAATATAATCTTATAAAAGCAGATGAAAAACATTAAGCAAATGTATCAGTGGAACTACAGACGACGCGATGCACTCAAATGCATTAAAAAACACAAGGCACCAACCACAGTTTACACCTCTGTGTAAGTTGGGAACTACACGAGTTAATGCAGGCACCCACCAGTCTACCAACACACAAGTGCAAAGTAAATCAATTACCTCTGTAAAAAAAAGTGCGTTTCATAAGAGAGAGAGGTTCCCGCCCAGTCGAGGCACGCATCTCATTCTGACCGTTCCAGCATACCTCTCATAATCCAATAACCTTGTTTAGAAAAGGAGCGCTCATCTCTCAGTGGAACAACTGTAACAGTGACAAACTACAAGAATTCACAAAAGAGTCGAATTCCGTTTCTCAAATATATTTTCAAACGTATCACATAGAAAAATCTGGTGGATTGTCAAAGTACTCTCAAGGCACCAGTCCAAGATTTTACGGTCAGTCTTCTTCTATCAGTTCTTTTGTCTTTAGATGGGTCCCATATGGAGACAAGACTTCAGTTGGTTTTGTGCACTTAGGAAAAGCTAAGTTTAAGTCCTTTGGTTCACCAGCCAGCATACACAGGTTCTGCATCACAGGGGATCCCATAGTATCGACCCTGAGGTCGCTCTTTGCGTAATAATGGAGCCCGGGCTACAGTCAGCTCTCCATCGGTGTCTCTCCGTCGACGCAGTACCATTAAAATGATAAAGAGTAGGGCCACTGAAGGGAGAAAGAATAAATACAGGATGTTACAGGAAATGACCATCTACTCATTTCACACACAAAGAGGGCATTGATACGTGATAATGTCCTGTGTGCATGATGTGGTCCCAGTGTAAGGGCAAAAACAGAATCAGTTTCCAGTGTGGAAAAAGAAAGTTTCTGTTTCCATGAGACCGAAAGACCAAAAGTGTAATCGGATAAACAGTCAGGTAAAGTGTAACGTATCAGAATAAACTACATTTCCAACAATACTTAGCTGATTTGTGACATTTCCAGTAAGAAATGCATATAATCACTTTAAGTACACACAGTAACAAAAAAAAAATTCACAATTAGACAGCAAACCCTTTCTATTTAATGACTTATATATAGTGAAAATGTTTTATTCACAAGGCTTAAGTTTAAATAAACATGGTTCATTTACATTTGTATAGTTATAAGAAAACAAATGAGTAATCCTGTTTTATAGTCCTCTGTAAACAACCGTTGCTAAGTCAAGAGTGGAAAGTTTTCGAAAGCTCCACTGAATGTGTAGTTTGTCTCATTTTTACTCATTTCCTTTAATGAGTGGAAAAAAACAACAAGCCCTGTTAAGCTACAGAAAATAGCCGTGCCTAACATTATCTAAAGGGAGCTATGAAGCATTACCAAATCAAACACCAACTATTTATACTTAAAAGAAAATTGTTTGGCGTGAAATCAGATCAGCTTGAAGCTTGTAAACTTTATGGGCAATCCGTTTGAAAAGCAGAACTGTCCAATGCCTTTAACATGGTGTTAATAAGGCAACATACATTACAAAAGAAGCTCTGACATATCAGGAAAACTTACTGGGAAGCTAATAGAGCCATTCTTTAAAAATATTTACAGTAAGTAAAACAAGATTGTATTGGAATATTTCTTCATTTGCATTAAAAACATAAAGGCTTCTTTGATGTCTTCCAGCATTACTTACCTCCTCCTCCAATAACTAAAAGAGCAATAGTGACAGGAGCCAGTTCACAAGTGTCTCCTGCTTTGCGGAAGAAAGTTTCCATGCAGTAGCCTGGAGCCAAGCTGCCCTGTGGACAAAATGCATCGCTGGGACACTGAATGGGGTTCACGTCGGGACTCTGAGGGAACAACAACGCTCTGTCACCAAACATATGCACACACAGGTTCGTTTTCTTGTTTGTTTCTTGTTTGACATGGTGTGGAAGATGTAGCACTCACAGGGCAGTAGTGGTTCTCTGGGCATACATCACAGCTTTCCTGGCCCCAGCGGATCTGGTAGAAGCCACTGCCGCAGATTTGACACATAGTCTGATGGGAGGCCTTATGCATGCCTGTTCAAAACCAGAAATTACCCGGTTGGATAGTCACACACTTTTACATTACAAGCTGCAGTACTCATAAGCATTACTTAATAGGGCCGTGCAGCTTTAAGTTTGCATGATGTGAATTACCTGGCCGACACTGTGTGCAGTCTTTAGCAGCGGTTTGCAGAGCTTCTGTTCCTCCAGGACACATCTGGCACCGGGGACAACCGGAGGAGCTGTCAGAGAGAAAGAACACTTGTTTGTGACTGTAAATGAAGTATGAGTTTCATGGCTGCCACAAGAAACTTAGAGGCATTTTTGAAGAATGCCAAAGCTGCTTTAGTTTAAAGCTGTTGTTGCAGTGTGGTTTCACAGACATGTGAGCAACGGTTTGGTGTGTTGAATAATAATACACAGCTTTGAAAATCGACATCATTATCTTGGGAATACAATGACAATATTTTACCGCCAAATTGGGGAAGACATGGTTTCATTGTGTGTACAATAAAAAGTTGTTTGGACACAAGATTAAAGATGATGTCCAAGTTCCAAACACAATATACTTGTGAAAAAAAGCTGTGGCCAGATAGACGTTATTGCCTGTCTTGTTAGCAGACTTCTCTGATTTTATTGTCAGAGAAATAAAAACTCAGTTTTAGGCTGGTTTCAAAGAGGATACCAGACTGTCTTGGTGAATAGCTGAGCCAAGGTGAAGTTCTTGGTGTATCAATGTATCTTCCTTCCAACCCTTAACTGTGATCATGATCAGGCTGTGTGGGGGCTCAGATTGTCCTTTCTATCTATCACACCTCATTATTTGCTTTGATCAAGATGCTTCTGTGGAGGAATTCTGGGTACGTCAATTTGGTATAGAGCCCAGAACAGACTAAGAATATGCTGGAAGAACTTCCCCAACCAGCCTGTATCCCAAAACCTGGTAAGCAACAAAAACATCTTTGGACTGCTAATGGTCATCTTGCTGCTGAAACTAAACACCGTTTTATATTTGCAAGGCCAGTTCATGTCCACTGGGACATGATCATACATGCCCCATAAAAATAATTTTCATACCATGCTGATTAATCAAAGCAGTGACTGTGTATCTGAGTCATGTGTGTGTGTGTGTGTGTGTGTGTGTGTGTGTGTGTGTGTGTGTGTGTGTGTGTGAGAGTGTGAGTGTGTGTGTGTGTGGGGGGGGCATCCTGGTGAACCAAACCATGGGATGAAAGGCATGTGA